GCACTGAGCTTCCGGGACACTCTGAGCATCTTAGCCAAAACGGCAAGGCTAAGCATTCCTGTCTGGAACTGAATTTTTATGCTCGGCTACAGAGGCACTCTTGAGTGGCTCAGCATTCTAGTGCCAAAATGAATGGCATGTTTCCTTTTCTGGCTTGCACCTCAAGGATGGACACTATCCCTGTTGATGCGCGAGGCGGCCAAAATGCTCAGAGCGCCACTGAAGTGAAGCACAACCAATCCTAATGTCCCTTTCCTCAGTTCCCACATTGTGAAGGAAGTCTGGGGGTTGTTTTGTCATGGTTACCAGCGGGCGATGGAGGAAGACTTGCCATGAAAGGTCTGGTAAGCAGAATTTTGTACCCTTTGCAGAATAAAATTCTGAGCTTCCCATTGTAAAACCCCTAGGGAAACCCAACAAAACATTTAGCAGATGCTGACCTAAAATTTATGAATGGGGCTGAAGATACTGTAGTTACTAATCTGGGGCCTACTCTGATCAGACGGAAATACTTGAAGTCCCTTTGATTTCAATCAAAAGGTTAAGTAGGTGTAATAAAGTGTAAAAGCATGCTTACAAGTAATTAATTTGTTGCTGGTTCAATTAGGCTCAGTAAGTTTGTTTTAAGTTATTCCAATTGCAGGGATTTTTTTAAAGCCCACAAGCTGACTTCTGACACCATTTATAAAAACAGCTTGACCATAAATCAATTTTCTCTTGAGATTTTCAGCCTGCAAGAATTTTTTTTTTAAGGTTTATGAGGTTTCAGCAGAGTAGTAATCACTAGATTTGTAGCTAAGTGCTTTCCTGACAAAGTGGTATCTGTCCCGCAAAAGCTTATGCCCACAAGTATTTTAAGCATCACAGGACTCTTAATTTGCTCTTTTTGTTTGGAATCTCTGGATTTTAATTTGATTTCACATTTGAGTTTGTAAGAGAGTCTAAATCAGTGGTCTCCAACTGTTTTTGGACTACCGTTTCCATCATCCCTGACCACTGGTCTTGCTAGCTAGCAATGATGGGAGTTGTCATCCAAAAACAGCTACACACAAACACACACACACACACACACACACACACACACACACACAAAAAAATGAGTGGACTCCCTACCTTTCCACCTGTGTCAGCACTGACTGCTGCAGGTGTCCTGATCACATTTCAGAGATACAATAAATCTAATTTTTCATGGTACACTAATGCTTGCTCCTTTTAAGACAGCTTGCAGTTTGAGCACTGTTCAGATACTATAAACAGATTGCCACCATTGATTGCTTGATGATGGCACTGCACAAAACTCGTGCAGACAAACAGTGATGAAGCCTGAATTTCTGGTCTGCAAAGAAATAATCAACCGGCCGTTTATTATTTAATTAGCAGTTAAATAATTGCCATTACAAATTCCAGCCATTCTTCTGAAAACTTGGACAAACCGTTGGCAGTTCAAAAACAGTCAGGCAAAAAGATTTTCATTGGTTCAGACTCTTAAAAAATCTGTGGTGGATCTTAGAGTTCATCTCATACAGTGTCTTTCAAGTGCATTGAGTTCTTTTTCAACTAGAGCAGCCCGCACAGGTACACGTTGCAGATTGTTTCTGGGGCCATGCAGTTGCCTTGCTGCTGCAACTGATCAAGAGTGGAATTTCTTATCAGAGCCAGAATTCAGTAGCCAAAGAACCTTCACCCATCCATACTGAACCACCCAGAATCTATCTGGAAAGATAGGCTTGTAGGTATTTTATTTATTTAAGACCCCACCTTTTAATTTTACACACACATACACAATAGGCAGCTTTCAGCAATAAATAATACATATATTAACACATGAATAGGCAAAAAATCAACATCAGATAAAATCAGCATCCCTGGTTTGTTTTTTAAAAAGCATCAATTATATTTTATTACATTTCAGCATTTCTAGCATACACAGTCAAAACACGATTACATCTTTTTTATTTTTGTCGACTTCCCACCTCATTTGTTGTTTTTCCCCTTCTGCTGCACCTTAGCTTCTAAATCAGCATCTCTGTTTATTAAGAGCATGAACAAATACACACACACACACACACACACACACACACACAGTCTTAAAACAGAAAAAGGTTTTGTGTCAGATTAACATTTCTATAGCAGGAATTCCACAGCCTGGCACCACTCTAGAAAGGGCCTTATTGATGATTGTCACATGCCTAACCTCTGAGGTTGGGGACATCTGGATATGACCTTAACTGTCAAGTCAGGTGCATGTGAGAGCTGGTGGTCCTTGAGATATCAGGGATGCCGCCAGACGCAAGGGCTGTAACTCAACAATAGAATACCTGCTTGGCATGAAGAAGGACTTGGATATCCATTGCCTATGCAATCTGGGCTGCAGCCGACTCTTCACTGAAATGCTGGGGAACTGCTGATAGTCAATGGTATAAGGCAGCTTCCTATGTACTTATGCATAGCCTCAGAAACCAAAGTGAGAATGAGTAGCGTTGCCATTTGTTAAGGAGAACAAAGCTTCTGGTGCACTGCAGAGTCCGTACCCCGTTCCCCACCAGCAAAAGGCTCATACAAGTAAACAAAGCAAACATGCTTTACTTGCATATTCTGTACAGATCACAGAACCCGGCTCTTTTCTCGAGGCAGCATTTCGGTCTCCCTGGCCTAATTCTCCAGGAGGGTGCTGGAGGTAGAGAGAAATGTTTATGAAATGGTAGCAGAGGGAAGACTCTTCTGAAACATCATCATTTCGAAGCTCCTTCCCTGATCAAAGAAGCACGATTATTTGGGCACATCCAAGGCTGCAGAGACATCGCCTTGCCAACAAAGGTCCGTATAGTAAAAGCTATGGTTTTCCCAGTAGTGATGTATAGAAGTGAGAGCTGGACTATAAAGAAGGCTGATCGCTGAAGAATTGATGCTTTTGAATTATGGTGCTGGAGGAGACTCTTGAGAGTCCCATGGACTGCAAGAAGATCAAACCTATCCATTCTTAAAGAAATCAGCCCTGAGTGCTCACTGAAAGGACAGATCCTGAAGCTGAGGCTCCAATACTTTGGCCACCTCGTGAGAAGAGAAGACTCCCTGGAAAAGACCCTGATGTTGGGAAAGATGGAGGGCACAAGGAGAAGGGGACGACAGAGGACGGGATGGTTGGACAGTGTTCTCGAAGCTACCAGCATGAGTTTGACCAAACTGCGGGAGGCAGTGGAAGACAGGAGTGCCTGGCGTGCTCGGGTCCATGGGGTCACGAAGAGTCGGACACGACTAAACGATTAAACAACAACAACAAGGCTGCAGGGCTCATCCCCTTGGGCTTTCAAGATGAGAAGGAATTGTTGGGAATTCCATTCCTACCGCACTGCAGATGTGTGGGATTGTTACATGTCACATGTCTGTTTACATTCCAGCACAGATTGTTGGAGTCTTGTGAGCAGAACATCCGCTCTGTATTGCTTTTGTGTTCTCTCTGTCCGAGAAGAACGACAAGGAGAGAAGCCATGTTTTCTTTCTCCTGATTTATGTACAATAAACGTAGCCTAGTATCCATGCCTCGAGCCAGATCTTTTCTGTGTTTACTCTGCTGAGTAACGTGTGCTCATTGCAGACGCACGTCGGAGGAGGAGGAGTGATGGATCTCCGCAGCGGCAAGGCTGAGAAGGGGGACGCTCCAGCTGGGGCCAAGCCAGCTGGCTTTCCATCCCACGGTTCTGACAGGAATGATTAGCAGATTAAAAAAATAAAAACGGCACTGGTTTTAGTGTGTTCGTTGAAAATACCGTACGTGCTATATTTGTAGGCCCCTTCTGTGAGACTTTGGCACATAATCCCAAAGACTCTTCATATTTTGTGAAGGTTTCCTTAAATATTGTTTCTGGAAAGCTATTGTGGGTAGGGGTGTAAATTAGCAAAAACAGGGAGGGTGGTGGTGGGGTGTAGATTCCATTAAGAATGGCTTTCTCCCTGCACTTGGCGCTGATGTAAAGCCTTATAATACCAGCACCAGGAGCTGCCCGGGAAGGTTTGGCTTATCATCCAAACTGGGGATTGGGGCGAAAGCCACTCTTCCTTAACTATGATCTGCAATGGCAACAGATTGTGCTTAAAGGGGAGGGAGTTTAACCACGATCCTGGATTCAGGTGATAATCTAAATTAATCTTTGCTTCAGTGCCATACCATGCTTTGCTAGAAGGACAAGGGAGAAACGGATGTGAGCTCCTCTCTTGGAGCCAGAATGGTTGAGTGATCCTAGTAAACCAAAGTTTGATTTTGCTGTGATTTGTGAACCAGGCCAGTAAATGGAGGTTCTCATTTTTCAGTGTTTTAAGTTTGGACATGCAGCAGTTTGGAGTAATGCATCAGCTGTACTCTTTGGGTTCTTCTAGATTACCTGTTTATTAAGCATTCATCCTGACTTGTTTGCACAAAGCTTACATTGCACCTAGTCTTTATTTAATATTTATTCTGATTCATTTGTGGGAAGGTTGTAAGACAATAAGTATTCATCCTCCATCCATCCTGATTTGTTTGCGGGCTCTTCTAAATCTTCCCATTCATTATTTGTTCATTACTTTTCAACGCATTTTCCCATCACCTTCCTAACCATAAAAATCTCAGTTTCTTTTTAAGAATTGAGTTTGTTGTACTAGGGTGGCAGAGTGCTTTAATCCACTGTGCAAACCTAAATTTAACTGTTTGCTCGAATCCTTGCTGCAAAGCGCTGATAGTCTGGAGCTTCTAGAAAAGACCTCTAGAAAAATATTTTCAGTAGCTACTTAAGCATTGCAGAATTCTGTGCAGCTCATCAGAGTCGGTGCACTTTTCTGAAGTTCCTAGTTGAAGATATAATCATCTCCTTGCTGTACTAACACTTATAGCCTAGGATAGGTTTGAGGGTGTGTGTTAGTGTGTGTGTATTAATCATCCATAGCCTTTGGGAAAAGGTAACCTATAAAGAAAAATGAACCCATTATTTGATAGACAGGCAAACATCTCATTTCTGTCCTTGCAGGCCTTTGGAGCGCTCTGGTGAAGATGTGGATATTATATTCACCCGGCTGAAAGAAGTGAAAGCTTTTGAGAAGTTTCATCCAAATCTTCTGCAGCAAATATGTCTCTGTGGCTATTACGAAAATCTGGAAAAGGGAATTACATGTAAGATTTTTTTCTCTCTTTCTGTGGATAAGAAAATCTCTTAGCAGTAATCAGAAATCACAAGGTCTTTGAATTATTAGAATGTTGGTAGCATAGAACATTCTTTGTAGCAGTGGTTTGTTTGACTACAGTACTATTGGTCTTGTAAATCTTACTTCCATTTCCGCTGTGTAGTTTGCAAAAACTCTTATTTTTAATAGGAAATCCTTCAGTTTTATGTAAATAAACCCTTTACAATTGTTAGAATAGTCTGCAGCAAACTTGAGTCTCCAGCTGTTTTTGTACTACAATTCCTATCATCCCTGACCACTGTTCTTGCTAGCTAGGGATGATGGGAGTTGTAGTCCAAAAACAGCCAGAGACCCAAGTTTGGGAAAACTCTGGTCTACAAAATCTTTGCATAGGGGCCTGGTAACACTTGACAATAAATTTCCAGACTCTGGCTGCGACGCTGCCTTGACAGCGATAAAGGCTAATGACACAGGGAGGACACACAGTTTGCCCCATCGTCAGTACTACATCTGTGCATACTTGTAAGAATTTCCAAATATTGTTACCTCCTCTTTGCACTAGGTTTTCTTAAAAAGCAGCATTGATAAACTACAGCAAAACCTGCAGAATATTATGTACATACATCTGTCACACACAAAGAAAACTGAGCAGGGACACTGTCAAACTATTGAGTCATTGATTGCATCACCAAGGCTTCACTATCTGTGGCATAGCCTTGTCATAAGGAAATGTGAATGGCTGGAGGTCTGGCATTAACACCACTGCTATTTACTTATCTGGTATAGAGAAACCATACCTTGTCAAAAGGATAGTTTCACAGCTCTAACAACCCCTCTGTGTTGCATTAGGTCAGGAGTCAGCAAACTTTTCCAGCAGGGGGCCGGTCCACTGTCCCTCAGGCCTTGTGGGGGGCTGGACTATATTTTGAAGGGGGGGGAAATGAACGAATTCCTACGCCCCACAAATAACCCAGAGATGCATTTTAAATAAAAGCACACATTCTACTCATGTAAAAACATGCTGATTCCCGGACCATCCGTGGGCCGGATTGAGAAGGCGATTGGGCCGGATCCGGCCCCCGGACCTTAGTTTGCCTACCCATGCGTTAGGTGCTCAGGAAGAGCTGGAACCCAAACTTTCCATTGCCATCCTCTCCATGATGGACCTTTCCAATGGGAAGTGATGTCTTTTAAGTGGCCAACATCGTACAGTATGGCAGTTCTTTACGTACAAGGGGAGGTTCCTAATAGGTGTTTAGTGACAGAAGGGCCAGGAGCAGGGCTCTGGAGGGAGAAGGAGAAGGGAGAAAACTGTTACAATGCCAAGATTACTAGAATGCAGCTTAAATATCAAGTGATGACTACTTGTAAACTAGCTATCGCTCATCAGTCACCATAGACAGAAAAGTCACACATGCCTTCTAGGTTGCCGTCTGGAGAGACAAGCCACACAGCTCTGAAAGATAATGCTACCACAGTTTCTCCTGACTCAGTCCTGCCCACCCCACATCTGTTTTCCTGCCTCCCCCTCTCCTGTTTGCTGAAGCAAGAAGAATTCTTGACTTGCTGCACAGCAGATGGGAAATGAATGTGAGAATAGGACCATAACAGAAGCAAGCTGAGAGAAGCCATGGCTTCATCCTCTTCCACATTTGTGGGACATGACGGTTTTCCAGGATGTGGCCCAACAACCCGGCTCCATCAGTGGCAGACTTCGGGCTTTAAAATTTCGGCGGCCCCCTGTGCAATGCCAAAATTTGGTGTGTGTGTCACCTTCTGTTCATTGTTGTTATGGTGCCCTCTCGGCTCGGCATCCAGTGCGGACGAACTGGTTGTGCTCCCCTAAATCTGCCTCTTGCTCTAGACCCCCTGCCCATCGTTCCAGACACAATGCTTTTCAATGGAGACAGCTTCTATCATGGCGGCTTCTCCCATTATGGTGTTTTGGTCATCCGTACTCTTTCCTTTGTTACCCTCGAGGCATGAGTTTTGCACCTCTTCAAGGGAAGAAAAGTCAATCAAGGAGGCTGTATTTATTTCTGGGATTGTATTGGCATAGCGCAGAGATGAAAAACCAATTTTTTGGCTCCATGGGCTAAATTTAAGAAACATTGGGGCCAGCTGCCTGTCAATCACACGGCATCGTTATTTGACACCACCTCTCTGTACAGTTTCATGTAAATGTTTTGAAAGCCCAGGAATCCAGAATAGATCTCTGTAGAATTCCACAGAAAGGTCTCCCACAGCAAGCCACAACAAGCTCCAGTTACCACTTTATAGAACAGGCATAGGCAAACTCGGCCCTCCAGATGTTTTTTGGGACTACAGCTCCCATCATCCCTAGCTAACAGGACCAGTGGTCAGGGATGATGGGAGTTGTAGTCCCAAAACATCTGGAGGGCTGAGTTTGCCTATGCCTGTCATAGAATCCTGCAGTGAGTAGAATAATTGCAGAGAAGCTCAACCCACACAGTTGTGTCCTGAAGGTTACTAAAGGCTGCCAAGAGATGTAGAAGAACCAGCAAGATCCTACTCCCCCAATCCATATCTCTCCTGGTAAAGGTAATTAGCCGGGACAAGCAAAGCCATCTCTGACTGGATGCCAAATTAAACAGCTCCAAACTGAACTTGCATCATGCAAGAACCGAAGAAGTTCCACAGCCACCATCCACCTTGGCCACAACGGAGTTCTGGCGTGCATTGTCAGCAATATGCTGACGGCACACAGCTCTGCTTCTGCTGTACGTCTGTAGATGTGGCAGGTGTATACTGGACTGCTGTCTTGCCTCAGTAATGGACTGGATAAAAGCTAACAAACTGAAGCTCAATCCAGATAAGACTGAGGCGCTGCTAGTGGGTGGTTCCCTAGACCCGATAGATGGGAGGGTGCCTGCTCTTGAGGGTTATAAGCCCTCTGAAGGGGCAGGCATGTAGCTTCTTCATGTGTTTCTGTGAGAGGTCCAGAGGGCTGGAACACGAGAACGGGCCTTTTCTGTGGTGGCTCCCCATTTGTGGAATGCTCTCCCCTGGAAGACTTGCCTGGCCTCTTCATTACATATCTTTAGGCGCCAGGCAAACACATTCCTCTTCCCCAAGGCCTTCGGCTAATTAAACAGTTGATGACCTTTTAAACTGTGTGTTTGTGGGGGGGGGTGTTCTTTCATTTGCTACTGTCTTATGAATTTTTGTATTTTAATATTTTAAATCACCCTGTGATTCGTGGAAGAAGAGCTGTATAGAAATTAAATGAATGAATAAAAACAGAAGATTAGCCTGTGGTTCTCTTTAAAAAAAGAGAGAGAGAAAGTACTGTCTCTTTTTAGCTGTATCCACCCCCAGTGCTCTGTCCCAAGGAAACATTGATTATATGATGCAAATAGGCCAGACATGTCTCCTGGATCTTCAGGTCTAGACAAGATGAACCATGGGTTGAACAGACATGTTGCGGGCATGAACTGAACCATGTACCCTGCCCACATTATTGGGTGTCAGAAACTGACACTCATCCAAAACAAACACAAAATTAACATGAAGAGAATAGCTCTGCTATTAACTCAACATCCGTGGTGGAGTCAAGGTCAGAGCCATTGCGAATGCACCTCTCTGAAAGAAGAAAAGAAAGGTTTGGCAAGTTACCAAAGATTCTCTAACCTTTCCAAAGAATAGGTAGGGGCAAAATGCAAAAGTCCAGTAACTATACAAACAAGAATGTAAAGACCCAGATATTTCTTCTCTGCCTTCACCACTACAGAGTAGGCTTTATGATGCACTAGGCCATGGGTAGGCAAACTAAGGCCCGGGGGCCGGATTCGGCCCAATCACCTTCTAAATCCGGCCCACAGACGGTCCGGGAATCAGCATGTTTTTACATGAGTAGAATGTGCGCTTTTATTTAAAATGCATCTCTGGGTTATTTGTGGGGCCTGCCTGGTGTTTTTACATGAGTAGAATATGTGCTTTTATTTAAAATGCATCTCTGGGTTATTTGTGGGGCATAGGAATTTGTTCTCCCCCCCCCCCAATATAGTCCGCCCCCCCACAAGGTCTGAGGGACAGTGGACCAGCCCCCTGCTGGAAAAGTTTGCCGACCCCTGCTCTAAGTCATGTTTGAGAAAGAAGAATAAGAAAGTGAGGGGTTGAGGGGAGGTGCCAAAGTAGCAGTAGAGATGGGAAAACACGGGCAGTAAAAAGGCAAACTTAACCCAAATATAGAGGTTTTGGAAACTGTTCTGTCTTCTTGAAAGTATAAGTTCTGATCTGAACATCAAAATGGGTGAAATGGTTCATTGTGCAAACTTTGTGCACTGATGGTTTAACCTGCACCCCCTCCCCCGGTTTTGTTGTTTATGATGGGATATCGGTAGAAAGCAATAAGGGAGGGTCTACATTTTTTTTAAAATCTTTTTTTCAACCAGTTTAACTGTCAAACTTTAAGTAATCCTGAGAGTTGTAGTTTGATGTGGGTGCTAAACATTATTTTAGGGGTTCCCTGTCCCCACCCACAGTACTATAGAACCATGGTTTGTTTGTTTTTTAAGGAAAGAGAAGTAATATTAATATAGATATGCCCCTTGTTAGAAAGCAGTTATCACACATTAGTCAGCATCAACCATATAGTTACTATATGGTATGTCAACAGCTATGGTTAGTCACCATACAAGTTAAGAATCTGTTGTTCGGAAACAGATGCAGTCCCAGCATAGTCATATGGTAATGGTGGTTGAATATACCTTTTAACCTGAGTCCTTTTTCTTTTCTTTTTCTTTTTCTTTTCTTTTCTTTCATTCTTTCTCTTTCTCCTACAGTATTTCGCCAAGGTGATATTGGAACAAATTGGTATGCCGTGCTGACGGGATCTTTGGATGTTAAAGTTTCTGATACGAGCAACCATCAGGTAAAATTACATCTCTGACATGGCTTCAATTGTCTGAAGAAAATGCTACCCTACAACTGGATAAAACAGTTGAGGGGTTTTGTCGATATTGTGCTCTTTCCCCCACCCCTCGCCACACACACACATTGACACCGGTGTCAAGTATCAAACGTCTGCGGTAGCAGTGTGAATTGCTTTCAGATGTGAAATATTTTGTGAGCGCTTCTCAATTTCTTTTCGTTACTACTGTGGGCGAGGGACTGTGTGTCATGATCCTAACCATCTGTGACTTGGGCACCGATTCAAAAGCCAGAGTTTAGCAACCAGGGACCATCTGACTCTGAAATGTGCAGATTGCAGCCCAGAGTCGGGCCCTAACAAGGAATCGGAGCCTTGCTTCCACCTCCCAAGAAAATCATGCTTGCTTACCACAGACATGTCCTGAAAGAGAAAAAAAGGAAGGCGATCCAGTCCTCTACTAAAAACCAAAGGGTTGACTCTTCAGGGATTTCCATTTTTCAGCGAGGAGGCAGGGCCTGCCTAAAGGCCTGGAGCGCCTCTGCCACTCAGAGTAGACAATTTTGAGCTGGAAAAAACCAACGATCTGTCTCCGTACGAAACAGCTTCCTATGAAGGGATCTGTATGTTTATGATAATTTGCAAAATGCCATGTATACAAGTAAATATTGTGTGGTGGGGGGTGAGGTGGACAATTAAGATGGATCTGAACTGAAAGTGTGGGGGGGGAAACCCATCACTTTTGTTTGTCTCTGAAAACAGCTGTCTAATGTTATATGGCTGATTTTTATGGGGACAGAAGTTGAAGCAGCAAGGGAGGAACTCAGCAGATATTGGTTTAGTGTTGGAATCCTCTTGGATTTTCATGCTCTTCCTGTACAGGTCTCAGTGATGGTTGGACGCAGTATGCTTCTGAATTTCAGCCGCTGGGAATCACACATGGGAAGAGTGCTGTGTGGGCTCAGGTCATGCTTATGGGCTTCTCAGGGGCATCGGTTGCCCACCTTGAGAACATGAAGCTGGTCTAGATGGGCCACTAGCTCTTCTTACATTCGTAACTTCTGGCTTCTCATATACACTGGCATCTCATATGTTTAACATTTTAAACCAAAGGATCTAAGCTTCCCCCCCTGGAAAAAACGGCGGGGGAACTCGCCTCAAAGTTTGTTTATTGCGGGCCCAGTGGCAGCGCCACCTCCCTCCCCATGCAGTGGCTAAATGTAAGATGTGATCCATAAACTCAAGCAGACCACGATCTGGGTTAGAAATGGCCACAACTTTACGGGGACGCTGGTAGTGCTGTGGTTTAAACTACTGTGCTGCTTGGACTTGCCGATCGGAAGGTTGGCTGTTCGAGGCCCCGCTACGGCGTGAGCTCCTGTTGTTCAGTCCCAGCTTCTGCCTACCTAGCAGTTCGAAAGCATGCAGTACAAGTAGATAAATAGGTACCGCTCCGGTGGGAAGGTAAAGGATGTTTCTGTGCGCTGCTCTGGCTTTGCCAGAAGCGGCTTAGTCATGCTGGCCACAAGACCTGGAAAAATTGTCTGCAGAAGCGGACAAACGCCGGCTACCTCGGCCTGTAAAGCGAGATGAGCGCCGCAACTCCAGAGTCGTTCGCAACTGGACTTAACTGTCAGGGGTCCCTTTACCTTTTTGATTGCAGATATAGGTGGATTTTTGGCTCGGGTGTTGGGTGTATATCCATTCCAGCCTGCCCGCCCTCGACAAAACAACTACCGTATTTTTCGCTCTATAAGACACACCAGACCATAAGACGCATCTAGTATTTGGACGAGGAAAACAAGAAGAAAAAAATTCTGAATCCCAGAAGCCAGAACAGCAAGAGGGATCACTGCGCAGCGAAAGCAGCGATCCCTCTTGCTGTTCTGGCTTCTGGGATAGCTGCGCAGCCTGCATTCGCTCCATAACACACACACACATTTCCCCTTACTTTTTAGGAGGGAAAAAGTGAGTCTTACAGAGCAAAAAATATGGTAATTGTTTAAAGTAAGGGAACTCAGTTCCTGCTTAAAAATCAAAAAACCCCAACCTGGATATAAGTGTACTAGAAATCACACACTCCTCCAGTTTAGACATGAATTATACAGTGGTACCTCGGCTTTCAAACGTAATCCATTCTGGAAGTCCATTCGAGATCCGAAACGTTTGAAAACCGAAAGCGGAAGCCTCAAAATGGAAGCTTCAATACAGATAAACTCAAAACAGAAGCCGCGTTTCCTGTTCAACTTCTGAGGAGCGTTTGAAAACCGAGGTATTTACTTCTGGGTTTTTGGCATTTGCGTTCCGAAACATTCGACTATGGAGGCGTTCGAAAGCTGAGGTACCGCTGTACCAGCAGTTGGTTAGGGCAGTGTTTCCCAACCGGTGTTCCGCGGCACACTAGTGTGCCGCGAGACGTTGCCTGGTGTGCCGCAGGAAAAATTAAAAAATTCGAAAGATATCCGGAGAGGCGGCCTTCAGGCGAGTTTTAATTTTAATTTTCCTTCTCCCACTTAATGTCCCACGCTCGCCTGAGCAGCTTGCAGTCCTCGGTAACCACGGTGACCCGAGGGAGGGGAGGGAACAGGGAAGTCGAGGGCGGCGGCGAGCCGCGATGACGTTAGTGGGCCGCGCCACCTCGCCCTGGCACGGTGTGAGAGCCCCGGCTAGTGGCGCGAGCTTCAGAATAAGTGGGATCTGCGTGCGCGAGACCGAGATCGCGGGTAAGGAGCTCAGCCCTGGGCAGGAGGAAGCGGGGCCGCGCGTGCGGGCCACATCCCCACAGAGAGCGAGCCTCCCCCGGCCCACCACTCCGGGCAGGTCCACTCGCATGAGGGGGCGGCGATGGCGACGGCCGGCAGCTTGCCTGGAATGCCATCCCTCGAGCAGGCGAGGAGCCCGGAGGCTACCAGATGCGAGTCCTCTTTCCCACCCTGCTCGGGAGTCCAGAGCACTTGGTCGCATTCAGGATCTAGAGTGGGGAAGCGGGGCTTGTGTCTGGGCTGGACACATTGGGCTGCCTGTGCCGCTCGACCTGCGGGGAGAAATCAGGGTGGGAGTCACGACCGTGAGGCAGGGCTGCCAAGTGTGGCAGAAGAGGACACGGCCGTCGCACCTGTCCTTAGGTAGGAGCTTCTTCTGTGTCGACCTGCTGCCCTAAAGTCTTGGCTTTTTTCTTGGCTTTTTGGCGGTTGGCACAGAAGGAAGGCAAGGGGGAGGGGAAAAATTGAAACTTACACTTTCGTGCGTCCCTCCCGGCATGACGCTGCGCGCTGACGTCACGGGGCTGTAATGGTGGTGTGCCTCGAGATTTTTTTCATGAAACAAGTGTGCCTTTGCCCAAAAAAGGTTGGGAAACACTGGGTTAGGGAAATAATAAACTCAGAATTTCACAGGCAAGTGTAATACTGGATTGTATGAATATCTGTAGAATGATGGCATGCCACAAGAGGGCAGTAGGAGAATGCATTAAGATTTTTTTTCTTTTCTTTTTTTAGTCGCATGAAAATAGGCCGACTTAAGTGCCCATGCAGTTATAGCATTTTTCTTTCTATGGGAAGTCGTGCTTGTTTATGGGACCAAACCTACAAAGTTTACGATGCAATAAAATCTAGCCTACCTAAATCTATGTGGATAGCATAGGCAGTTCATGGGTACTGGTTTGGCCATATTAGGGGTGACAATCACTTCTTCTTCTTGTCGTTGTCGTCATTGTCGTCATCATATTACTATTATTATTATTATTATTAAACTTGTATACCACCCTATACCCGCAGGTCTCAGGGCGGTTCACGACACTAAAATCTCAATATAAAACCACAAAATGCACAATAAAAACAAAAACAAGGACAGCCCATTAACCCCCCTCCCCAACACATTTTAGTCTCTTGCACATATGCCAGCTCCCCACTCATTGTTACAGAAGCAGCAGAGGAAACAGGAAGCCACAACCGCCCATCTGATTTTGCCACTGTTGGCATAAGCAAGGAGATGGTTGGCATTGTGGCCATGTGCAGTGCGGGATAGAGGCAGCGGATCAGGGTGCTGGGGTGGAAAGGGGCTGACCTGTACGTGGGGGCAAGACATGGAACCCCCATGCAAAATGGTCGTCACCTGTACAGTGGTACCTCAGGTTAAGTACTTAATTTGTTCCGGAGGTCTGTACGTAACCTGAAACTGTTCTTAACCTGAAGAACCACTTTAGCTAATGGGGTTTCCTGCTGCTGCTGCGCCGCCGGAGCCCGATTTCTGTTCTCATCCTGAAGCAAAGTTCTTAACCTGAAGTACTATTTCTGGGTTAGTGGAGTCTGTAACCTGAAGCGTATGTAACCTGAGGTACCACTGTACTTCATTTTCCCCGCTTCTAGCTCCTTTGTTGCACTTGGCAGAGGAAGCAAAATACAGTGGTACCTCAGTTTACGAACTTAATCCGTTCCAGAAGTCCGTTCTTAAACCAAAACCATTCTTAAACTGAGGCGCACTTTCCCTAATGAGGCCTCCCGCCGCCGGTGCCCTTCCACCGTTCGGATTCCATTCTTAGACTGAGGTAAAGTTCTCAAACCAAGACACTATTTCCGGTTTTGCGGAGCTTATAAACCAAATCGTTGTTAAACCGGATTGTTCTCAAACCACTGTAAGTTTTGGAACTGGCAGGGGGGCGAAGAGGCAGCAGAAGCATATAGACAGCAGGTAGAATGACTGCGATTCTACCTGTCAATCACCCAGAATCTAGTTACAGGCATTTTAGAGGTATCAGATAAAGCAGAGAGGAGGAACCTATGGGCCCTCCAGATGTTACCAGACTGCCGCTCACGTTACTCTTGATAATTGTTCATGCTGGTTGGAGTTGATGGGAGTTACATAAGGAGGACCACAGGCTCCCCAGCCCAGAAGTAAAGGATAAATGCTAAGCATTTTTTCAGGATGGAGAAAAACCTGAAAGGGTTTCCAAGAGGCAAATTGTTCTGCTTGCCTACTCCACCCCCCCCCCGAAGAAAAAAGAA